AACGGGCTATTAATTTTGTCCCTAAAATAATTTTTTAAATATTAAAAACTGCTTTTATTCCAACCGAAATAAAACAAATAAGACTTTCTCCAGAAGAAAAAAAATGTTATCAAGCTGTGAAAATTTCCTTGCTCCGTTAAACATCATTTGGAAAATATTTAAAAAAGAAAAAAAATTTCAAAGGGAGGCTAATAATTCTGAATTCAACTGTATATGTGGGCCTATTACACAAAAGACCAGAATATAAGACAAAGGGGAAAAAATAGATAAAATAAATAAACAAATCTTTACCTCAATCTTAAAGGGATACTTCACCCACAAATCAAAAATAATGACATGGTTTACACATCCTCCGCTTGTTCCAAACCTGTTTGGATTTCTTTCCCCTGTTGAACATGAATGATATACCAAAGAATGTTGGGGGAAAAAGCAGCCATTGACTGTTTTGTATCTATTTTAAATGTCAATGCTGTTTTTCCTCAATATGCTTCAGAATACATTGTTTTGTGTTTGAATTGGAAAAAAAAGAGAGAGAAGTTTAGAACCAGGGCCTTCACTGCGTAAAACATATGCTGTAATAGTTAGAAGGTCATTACACTGTGGCGACCCCTGATTAATAAGGGACTAAGCCGAAGGAGAATGAATGAATGAATTTTAGAACCACTCAAGTGTGAGTAAATAATGAGTAAATTTACATTTGTGTTTTTACTATGGGCTGTCACTGGACTTTGATTTCAGATTTCAAAATGATACTTTATATATGCATGTCAAATATAAAGAAAAGTGCAGGTTTAGGTAAAAATGCAAATAACTAAAGACAAATGGATTTCTTTTAAATGAGATTTCTGGGTAGCAAAATATGTCAAATCAGGTGAAACTAAAGGCAAATCTGTAATTGTATAAAGTATATAATTCATTTCTTTATCATCAATCATCCTCTTTGGCTAGATAGGCTTTCAGTATGTTTTCAATGTTGAATACTGTACAAAATCTTTTAATAAAAAGTGGAATAGCTTTGAAATAATGTAAGTTTGGAACCACTTAAGCGAGTAAATAATAAGTAAATTCTCAATTTAGCTTGAACTATAAACTGTCACCCAACTTTGAGTTAAAAATGATTGATATATGCATATAATATACTGAGAAAGTGCAGGTTTAAATGAATTAAGGCAGATGGAAATCATTCGAATGAGATTTTTGGGTAGCCAGCCGGATATGTTTCAATGCATTTCAAAACATTTCAATTCAAGGAAAATAAAAAGCAAATCTATTTCATAAAGTATAGAATTCATGTTTTGTCATCAATCATCCTCCTTGGCTCGACAGTCTTTTTCTAGAATGTTCTCAATGTTGAATTATGCATAAAACCGTGGAGTAGCTTTGGATTAAAGTAAATAAATTAATTAAATGTATACATTTGTGGGGATTGACCCCCCCTAATCAATGCTTGATCCTCCCCTGTAAAATAGGTGTTTATTTGTATAGTTTATTATTAAGTAACCACTCAAATACACAAAAACAAAAGTTTATGGTAAAAAAACGGCAGATGAGGTTGCAAATATTTTACCGTTAAAAATACAGTACAAACTGTAAAATTAATTTCTCATTTTTACAGTAAACCACCGTATTTCATTAATTTATATATGTAATATGTAGGCCCACACGTAATCTGCGCGCGCAGAATTCCGCAGATTTTACGCAGATTTCTGCAGATTTTTAGCCCATTTTAGCCTGTTTATTTACTTGAGTAAATGTGTAAATCGGAATTTATTCAGTTTTTATTCAGTAATTTATTACTTTTTATTTAATATATTAAAATGTAAGTTATGATACTCCGCTGGATACTCCCAAAATAATTCTGCAGAAATCCGCAGATTTTTACCAAAATTCTCAGCAGAAATAGCAAAAAACGTCCGCAGATTCCGTCTGGCCCTAGTAATGTCTGTATTTTGAATTAACAATATCTACACATCTTTTGTTACACAGATAGACACGTAAACAAAGCCATATGCAGGTGGTGATGAGAAAGTTTCATAATGAACTAATGCTCATCACAAACAACTTTTCCCACAAGCATCGGTGTATAGAAGGTGCTCAGTGTCATTCACACAGCTACTAAACACCAGTATGGTAACGTGCATAACATTAAAGTCATGAAATAAACATTGTTTATCAACATCGGATGTAACATAAATCTCTAATGTACATAACTGATGGGGAAACAACTAAAAAGATCAATATTAATGTCAACAAAAAGCATAAAAAGTGACGTGCCATACAGGGAATTCTGGGAAAGTCAGTTTATGGTTATTCGCCATATATATTAAGGAAACATACTGTTAACCAGGTTACGGATTTTTACTGTAGCATTTTTACAGTCTTTACTGTTAAAATCACGGATGTGTTTTACAGTCGTACTGGAAAGAACCTGTGAAATAACGGCCATTAAATTACAGAAATATACGGTAAAATAACAGAGGTTGAATTACAGTAATTTCCTTAAATTTACATATCTGGTAAATTTCTGTAATTCAACGTCTTGTTATTTTACAGTAAATTTCTGCAATTTAACAGCCGTTATTTTAGTTTCTTTCCAGCACCCCAGCTGCCAGAAATAAACCATAAAACTAGATTTTTTTAAGAGGGTAGTCACTAAATATCCCTCAAAACACTCAAAACGTATAGATTTTATTAGTTAATATGATGTCATTTAAATACATTTCTAAATTTGATTCACTAAAGCATGTTTTATCAAACTACTATCAAAAAAGTTGGACCTCCTGATCAATGTTTAATTTGCACACTGATTATAATGCATGATAGAATTGCAGGATATACTGCCAAACTACTGTCTTTTTTTAGAAGTGTCTAAACATAAACAAATTCACACATGATAAAAGGACACTACACACACCAATATGTCCAAGCTTCACACTTGAGTCTTGCACATCAAGCTAAGGCCACTGATTTATTTGCATAGTTGTGACTTTCAGATTTACATGCAGCTTTATCATAAAGCACAACCGTACATTCACTCACACACACACACACACACAAATTAAAAATGTAAAATGCACACTCTTCCCCACATACACACGCTTAAAACTAGTCCTTAATCGGGTTGGAAGTCATTTGGAATTGAATGTGGATGAAAACAAGGCTGTGAGGAATAGACAATTATTACAACGGCACTCAATGAAGGTTTAAAAACACATCAAATGATTTATTTTAGTTCTTATTTAATTCTTATTGAACAAAAAATGCTTTAAAACAAGCTGATTATTTCATTTGCCATATATATTTAATTTTTTTTAATTTTTACTTTCTGTTTTATGCACTCTGTAGCATTTGTATGTTATGTGACGCTGTAATGCTATCTGATACTGTTCTTGTCTTTTGAAAGTTTAATTAGAGTAACATTTAATCAACTACAAAAGCTATATATAGTTAAACGACAGCGTAAAGCCCACTAAATGTACCGTATTTCTATGCCTCACAGCCTAATTTTATTTAATATCAGAAATTAAAACACAGCGCCACCCTGACTAAAGGTTATTGGAATAAAAGACCCAGCACTCTAGGACGATCTCCCTATTAAAGAAGGCACTTTAAAATCCAAAAAAAAAATAAAAAGACATCAGAATAAATACAGTTCAGAGAGGAGCAGCAAGTAGAAGTACAAAATCCATCCGAAACATGTACAGAACAGACCATAATGCAAATACTTTTAAAAACAAACAGGAATGAAGTTAAGACACACAAGACAACGCCAACAGACTTTCACATCCTCTTGAAAGCAATGTTTCTTGAGTCACATTTACAATAGAGGACAAGTAGTTAATGTATTTACTAACATGAATACACAGCGAACAATACATTTATTACAGTATTTATTCATGTTTGTTAACGCTAATTAAATGAAAATTACAGCTGTTCATTGCTAGTTCTTCTTAACTCGCTAATTGTCATTGTAAACTGTGTAATTAAAATTTTTGTTGAACTTCCCACATGTTCCAATGACAAGAAAACACTAGTTTTACTCCATTATTAACAAGCACAACTTTGGATTTTAATAATGTATTAGTAAATGTTGAACTGTGGTAAATAAACATTGTACATTTTATTTGTTGGTGTTAGTAAATACATTTGACTATGTGTCCCATACTGTAGAGTGTTACCGTTTCTTGCATATAAATCCTATCTATAGATGCATATAAATCCGATCTATACATGCATAAAATCATGATCTTTTTATATATAGATATTAATCTGATCTATATACATGAATATAAATGTGATCTATATATGCATACAAATCTGATCTCTCTCTCTCTCAAAAATTATATATATATATATATATATATATATATATATATATATATATATATATATATATATAGAGAGAGAGAGAGAGAGAGAGAGAGAGAGAGAGAGAGAGAGAGAGAGAGAGAGAGAGAGAGAGAGAGAGAGAGAGAGAGAGAGAGAGAGAGAGAGAGAGAGAGAGAGAGAGAGAGAGAGAGAGAGATCATGATTATATGCATACATGTATAGAGATCAGGTTTATATGCATGCATGCATATATATATATATATATATATATATATATATATATATATATATATATATATATATATATATATATGATCTAAATACATTAATATATATCTGATCTAAATACATGAACATAAATGTTCATGAATCTAAATCTCATCTATATATGCATCTAAATCGGATCTATATACAGTGCCTTTATAACATCATCATACCCTTTGAAAATCTGTAACTACTCTATGACACCCTGCTTTTTAAAAAGACCTTCAGGATAAAGTTGTAGAAAGGCACAGGTTAGAAGGCTACAAAAAATATGGTAACACTTAAGAACAAGGGTCCGTTAGTTAATGTATTTACTAACATTAACCAAGAATGAATAATCTTAAAAAGCATTTAATAATCATAGTTCAACATTATCTAATGCAAGATTAAAATCCATTCTAATTAATGAATGCAGTTGATAATTTAACTTAAATAACATTAACAAAGATGAATAAGTACCATAATGAATGTTTTACTAAATTGTTTGTTCATGTAAGTAAATACATTTAGTAATGGACCTTTTTTTTTTTAAGTGTTACCAAAAAACTATTTTAAAGGCTGTAAAAAGTTATTTGGAATGTGATTTCAGGCTGTGTGACTAAAATCTAAAGTACTTATTTTAAAGGGAGGAGGGTATGCTAGTTTTCTATAGGCACTCTATACAGTAGGCAGCATCTGAAGTTGGGTGTTATTTAATAGTTTTAAAACAACTTTGACCAAAGTTGAGGATCCACTTTAAATGTTGACAACTGTATAACACATGTTGTGATGGTTGTGTTGGAATGAATGGTCTTCATTAGTGCTGCTCTTCTCTTAGTCGGAGTCTTCATCATCGAGATACTCCTCGGCGTTACTGTGGGTGCGCAGAATGACTGGAGACGGGACAGAAGGACGGTTAAATGGGTGACTACAGGAAGTGACATGTGATTGAGGTACTGTAACTGAAAGGAGACGCCTTATGACTCACCTCCTCCCAGCTTCCTCTTCAGCAGAGAGGCGCACTGTGCGTTGGTGGCCATATCCAGAGCCGTCTTCTTCTCATTGTTTACCACATCTGTCCTTGCATCTGTAAACACACAGACATGATATGAAATATTAAAGATAAAAAATAAAATAAAATCACAAACGGCTGCGTATTATGTTTTTGCAAATGTTTTTTTCATACACATTTGTTCTGCTCGTCTTACAGTAGGTCTGCGTTGCATCATTTTAATATATTTTTTAATTTTTTGAAAAAGTTTATTAGCTAAATTTAAGCTCTATTCCTCTTTTGGAATAAATAAATGGTAAAGGTAAATCCTGCCAATTTTAAATTTTTACATTTTAATTTGAATTTTGTCACTATTATAGCGTGAACATTAATAACACACTTTGTAAAAATTGTGTTTGCATTTTATTTTTCAGTTTGGCTTTTTATTTTAATTTTGGCAGTCTTGACGCGAAAAATCAGTGAAAATGAAATGTTAAATTGGCAACTTTATTTTAATTATCAATTTGACAGGGACAATGTGTTGTCAAAATGAAAATTAAATAATTTTATTTCGTTTTAAATTTTGGCAGAAATTTTGCGAACAATGTTTTAGAATGAAATTGTTAATCTAACTTTCATTTTAATTTCCAAAATTTATTTGATTTATTTAAAATTGGCAGGATTTACCTTCCATAGTGAACACTTAGCAAGGTTAAAAAGTAAGAATTATTTGGTTACAGTATTAGTTTTACATTAATATTAGTTAAATTCTTCGAGTGAGTAATGCAAATGCTTTAGGAAACTTTAGGAAAAATGCTAAATATTTTAATTAATTTATTGTATATGGTTATTACACCACAAATGAAAGTAAGCCATCTTGTTAGTTTGAGATGAAAATGCAGTTGTTTAGGACATCTTACCCCAACCTAGTATCACATACTGTAGATAAAACTTTTATAAAGCTAAAAATAAATCAATAAATAAAAAAAAATGAATAATGCACTCACTTTTATTAAGCAACATCTCAACTATATCTGAATAACCCTTCCAGGCAGCTGCATGTAGAGGCGTATCTCCCAATTTATTCTGTTGTGGAAATGAATACATCATTTAACATGCATCAAGTCCTATATATAAAGTACATACAGCATTGGCTCAGTGATCACTTTGTCACTGATCTCATTGTGCACATTAACAACTTGAAATAAACCACAAAAAACAACAGAAATAAATCGCACTGACCTGCTGATTGAGCTCACAGTTCGGCTGACTCAGCAAAATCTCCACCACATCTAAGAAAACAGGGTAGTTTAAACATTTCATTGCTTTTCTTCTTCATGTTTATTTGTTTGTGCCATTATTGGCCAGAACAGCCTTAAAGCCAAAGAGTAGAGAAAACCCAAGATGTTTCTCTCGTATAGTTTTGAATAGGGAAAATGCAACGCTCAACATGGCCGCTCTAGAGAATAAAGCCATGCTTTCTAGTAAAGAAGCCAATCTTTGATCACTATAAACTGATGATTCTCCAGAGTTGTGCTTTTATGACAGTTTCTGCAGCTTCATAGACAAACACGCCAGGGTGAAGAGAGGGAGAAAAAAGAGCTGAATTTCAACGCAAGGCAGGTTTATTATTATTTATATAGAACATTTCATGCACAATTATAATTGTAGATATATTGTATATCAATGCTTTACAATGCTTGCCTCACACATATCAGAAATATATCTACATAAAGCTTGAAATCTTTACATCTGTAAAACAAATGTTCTCTGGTTTTGTAATCTGTATGAAACAAACATGAGATACTCTTTCCTGTGTGACCGCATTAAGTGAGTCCTCGCCTCTGCCATTCAAATGCAAATCACACGAGGGTAACGGCATGAACACGCGAACATCCATAAACATGTACGCAAAGAGGCTGCTGTCGTTTTGGGAGAACATATGTCATCAAAAATAAGTTGGGAATTAATTCACAATTACAGAATAGCCCCTTTCACACATACAGACCTTTCCGTTGTATGTGTGAACAGGCCCTTTTTGAAAATACCGGTGAATTCGTTCTTCGTATTTTCCGGAAAGAGAAGTTGTAACATTACCGGTAATTTGCCGGAATGCTGCGCTGTGTGAATGCAGAAGGAAGATAGCCGGAAAGAGCGCGTACACGTCTAGAACGTGCTGACGTGAGACGTCTGCTTTAGCCAATCAGAACAGTCAGACGCATTCACGTGCACGCGGTTTATGAGAATAAAAGCCTTTTGAATATTTTTCCCAGACACCTTTAGCTGCTAGATGTTAGTCAGATAACGTTTCTATGTTCCTTCTTAATGCCAACTGTGTAAATAATTATTGATAAAATGTTTATGATAATCAGTTGTTTGTTTACCTTTAAGCTTTGCTTGTGCCCGTGAGTGCCTATAGCGCCAGCACACACACATATCATAAACATCTCGACATGCGAATGTGTTTCTCTATGTTTTCATTGGAGTTGTTCACAATACTGATCCATCCAAAGAGTTTGTAATGAAGTCAAATGTTTACAAACACAAGCGCAGCCGTTTAGAGGTCATTTCTGGTTAATGATGTCAAAATTTACCGGCATTTTGCGATGGATGTGTGAATGCTCTTTTCCAGAAAAATTCCGTAACGTCCTCGCCTGTGTGAACATTGCTTTTTTGAATATACCGGTAAAGTCGTTCCGGAAATTCTCCGGATATTTACCGGTGTCACTGTGTGAAAGGGGCTAATGACTGGATGCAGCATTATTTTGAGGATGATACTGTGTAGCACGCAGGCTATTGATTGTTACAGTAGTTACATAGTTTGATAGACAGGATGACAGCTGATCGCGTCCTCCAGAGACATCCAAAGGAGTTTGATATCGTGAATTCATTTCTTTCGAGACATTTTTGAGACATTTGTCAACTCATTGGTGATAGCAAATATGAAATTTGATCGCAAACTTGACAAGCAGTTTTGGATGACTTGATGTTTTGGCTTGGCCAGCCTGATCTCACGAGAAAAAGTAAGTATGTTACGTTTTGCCAGTTTAGTGGCTAATTCGTACGAGTTCAGTCGTACAAAATTGTACGATTTTAAAAAGGAGGCGTGGCACCTAACCCCAACCGTCATTGGGGGATGAGCAAATCGTACTTAACTGTACAAATTAGATCGTACAAATTCATACGAATTAGCCACCAAATCAAAAAGTTACGAATTGCCGTGAGATTGTGTTGGCTTGGCTTATGAGGGCGTACTCACACTAGGCACAGTTGATTTGAACCATGCCGAAGCGCACTTGTTCCCACTCCCCTTGACGGCCTGCACTCACTGCATTTTTTAAATTCTGAGCAGGAGCACGATTACATCATCGATGATATGACTGGTCAGGAAGAGACAGGAAGAGAAGTGCTCTCACTCAGCGCAGTGGACATTGCTTTAGTTATATCACTTTGTATTGTTTTTAGTCGTTTGTGATGCAGTGACAGTCAAATATTTTGCTGAACAGATCTACAATTATCATAAAAGTCCTCATGCTGCACGTATTAGCAGGTTTGCATCTTTAATAAACTATGACAGTTCGTGTTTATTAAACGGTAAGAATGATTAATAAATTTATATGAAACAGTCCCTTTAAAGTGATGTCGCGTCTTTATTTTCCGGCTCAGGCGCACTTTGCACTCACATTACAAGCATACGCAACAAAGCCCAACTGAACCACACTCTTGCCCGGCCAACTGAACCACGACTGTGCACGATTCGCAGCACTCACATTTAACAGACAAACTAGGAAACGCACCCAGGCACAGTTCGGATAGCTTAGTGTGAGTGGGCCCAGAAATGTATTGAGCAAAACTGTGATGATCACGCACATCTGGTCAGGAAAGCATGGTGTGAACAGCCTTAAATCTTTTGCTGTCAAGGAAACCCACAAACCCCTCCAAATACCCACGGAGAAACCCAGGAAATGCCTACAGCGGTTGCTGAATAAATAGAATTAATTGCTTTCATTGATTCAGTGTGACTAAAACATAAAGCAGCGCAAACAGCTGTTATTAGCAATTGATTAAATTAATTTTAAAACCGATTCTTCAGTGAACTATGGCCCCGTGTAGTACAGTGGTTCCCAACCTTTTTTTGCCCGAGACCCCCTTTTTCCCCAGAAAATATTGGCCCCCCTCCACATTTAATGATATATTCGCTTATGTAAGTTTGCAGTAATGATGACAAAAAAAAATAGTTTTCAAACAAACATTATTATTTAGGTGGCCATAGATTTTTTTTAATCTAGATTAATTTAGATTAAAATGGCTCATTTGAATTGAATTTGAATGGCTCATTTAGAATTTGTGTGCTACCCAAATAAAAAGTCTGCGAGAATGGGTTTCTCAAGCCAGGTGGTGCATTAGACCAGAGGCTCATCTCCGGTTTCCGCATCACGAACTGCTTGTGAAACTGTTCTACTCTGACAAGACGGTGATGAAAATTAATTATGTTTAATAAGATTCATTAATTTTCTTTTCGGCTTAGTCCCTTTATTAACACAGGGTCACCACAGCGGAATGAACCGCCAACTTATCCAGCACGTTTTTACGCAGTGGATGCCCTTCCAACCATAACCCATCTCTGTGAAACATTCACACACACACACTCATACACTACGGACAATTTGGCCTACCCAATTCACCTGTACCACATGTCTTTGGACTGTGGGGGAAACCAGAGCAGCCGGAGGAAACCCACGCGAACACAGGGAGAACATGCAAACTCCACACAGAAATGCCAACGGACCCAGCCGAGGCTCGAACCTTCTTGCTTTGAGGCAACAGCACTACCTTCTGCACCAATGTGTCGCCCCATTCAATAAGATGTACTTATATTTACTAACTGTTTATTCACTTAAAGATGAATTTTGCAGCTGGTAGGGCATAAAACATATGCCAGGATAGTTGGCGGTTCATTCATTCATTCATTCATTCATTGAAACAGCGAATTGTTGTTGTTTTTTTTTTATCTCCTTAATCCGACTAAAGTCATAACTGAACTAAACAGAAATGGAATTAAGACGTAGAGTATGCTTATGTACTTATATATCATAAGTGGCATTATTGAAGTAAACACCGCTGTCTTTAGCACCTTTCGCCATATTTTCCGTCAAGATCCACACGCGGCTGTCAGTAAAGGACCGCGCACGCACACACACACACACATTGCGAAATGCGGAAGTTTTTTTTCTATCCATTTGGCGTATGCTATTAAATTCCATTACAATCACCAGTACCTACTCCTTATTAGTGTCTAAAACCCCAGTTTGTCATGGCAGATGAATGAAATGTTCAGGCATCCTGCTGATTTGATTCAGAAGGGCACTCTTTTGTCAGATGGCTCACCGGTCAGGTATACATCCATCCGCGCTAATATGTCAAGGTGAAAGTCATCATAGCTTGCGTAGAATAGACCCAGCTCCCAACCCAACTTTGAAAATAGATTAACGGCAATTATTTTTTATCACATGATAAGAATCTCGCATTAACGGCTCACCACTAGTGTAAATATATATTTATTCAGTTTGTATATTAATTTCAATAATACTATTGTCCACTGCTAAGTATTTTTTTTAAATATGACGCGGTCCCCCGCAAAGCTCACTGAGGCCCCCATGTGGACCTGTTGGGAACCGCTGGTGTAGTAAACGCTGCTTCATCTGTACACACATGCTGGAATAGAAGCTTTAATACATTAGCTTTATTAGCTCTGGCTTTGGTGACAAAATGCACATGAAAATTGACTTTGGTTAGTTGCCAATTGAGGTGGCACGGTGGCTCAGTGGCTAGCACTGTCACCTCACAGCAAGAAGGTCGCTGGCTCGAGTCCTGGCTGGGTCAGTTGTCATTTCTGTGTGGAGTTTGTATGTTCTTCCCGTGTTGGAGTGGGTTTCCTTCGGGTGCTCCGGTTTCCCCCACAGTCCAAACACATGCGCTATAGGTGAACTAAATACGCTAAATTGGCCGTAGTGTAGGAGTGTGAATGTAATAGTGTAAAAGAGTGTTTCCCAGTACGGGGTTGCAGCAGGAATGGCATCTGCTGTGTAAAACATATGCTGGATAATTAGAGGTGTAAAACATATGCTGGATAATTGGAGGTTCATTCCGCTGTGGTGACCCCTGATGAATATAGGGACTTAGCCGAAGGAAAATTAACGAATGAATAACCACCAAGCCCCCTGTGTCTGAATATAGTCAAAGCATGTATTTCAACCAGTTTGTGTTTCGACTACCTTTATGTCCTCCATGGCAAGCCCAGTAGAGAGAGGTGTTCCCTGCTTTGTCCAGTCCGTTGATGCCAACTTTATTATCCAAGCACTCTCTGAGCCAGCTCAGATTTCCTGCATTCCCACACAAAACAGACGATTATTTCACCACTTTAACAAACAAACATACTGCTAGCCGGGTCTGTATGTGTGTACCTCGTTTGGCTGCTTCATGCATGGGGTTATCTATGGACTCTGCCTGTTCAGCCACTGAGAAATGATCAAGATGAGAATAAAAAAAAAACTGCATATAATAAATCACAGCAATACATTTTTACATCACGGCGAATAGATCTTTGCAGTGTGGAGAGTGGATGTCTGCAGGCATGTGCACACATAGGGCTCAACCTGTGCAGTGCACATGCCATTTCTAGTATTGGATACAAAGCGCCCTACGAAAATGATCTGAATTGCCCCCGCTCTTCAGAAATTTTATCCTGCACATGCCCCTTAGATAGTCTCTGCACAGGGCTGGATGTCTGTACCGGCGAGTACAACGTGACGTCACATTAGTTTGATAGTTACAGTTTACACACAGCTTTCTGACGATATGTTACCGAGTACATTTAAGTTACCGGGAAATGCAGATTATTTTTTTCTTCTCTCATTTGACGTGTGGTATCAAACATTCCATCAAAGCTACACTCTTCCAGCAGTTCTTACTCGCATCCCATATCACGTTTGTTACGAAGGGCATGCATGAAATGTTCCTGAATGAAAGTGAAAGTGCCAAACTGCAGTTAAAGTCAACAAATTAATTATTTGGCAAATAATTTGACTACTGATGTCCATGTAAACTCAGTCACTGTCTTTCTCTCCTGCGTCTGTGTGTTTGTTTTGCCTCTGTGAAAATCCGCACGTGCCCAAACAGAAACTCCCATTTTTATGCAAAATCTTAACCTCTTTCCCTCCCCCAACACTCCCACCTAAACAGAGCTGGACACACCAACTTTCCTGACTTTTTCCAAACTAGAGGCATGAAAACATCCTGCTGAGACAGGGATTTCATGGCACTTTAAAGAGATTATGGTGTTGTTTGATACCCAATATGCTTTTAATTGTTTAAATTAAACTTAACTGGATGATATTACTGATGCTTACCCCAGCATCCAATACTTCCAGGTTTCTTCCCACTGCAGCCTTGCTTTTTCTTTGTAAAATGGCGGCCGCATGAAATAAGCGTACAAATGGCTGTCTTTAGCACAAATGTGGTTTTGTTTACAATTTCTGGTTCATTCTAGGCAGTATGAAAGCGAACCGCATCAAATAATGAAAAAATAAACTAATTCAAAATTTGGTCATGACCAAAGCAAGTGAACTAACAAACTTTCCTGGAGTGAATAGACCCTAAATTAACTTTTTATTTTTCAGGTGAATTATCCCTTACATTTCCCAAAAGTCATCTCATTCACTAAAGCATTACGTTTAAAGGGTTGATGGTTAGCAGGATCTACTGTAATCAACATTTCATGTGGATCAAAAAAGTTTTTCAAAAGTCTCCTAAGGTCAGAATGGATGTTGTTAAATAGTTTTAAGACGACTTTGATGTAAAGGTTTTGATCCACTTTAAAAGTTGACTACTGTAGTTTGCTTTTCTTACCGTAATTGCTAGGAATAAGACCAGTCCTTCCCCGGCATGTCCCTTTCCACCAGTTACTGTCACTCTAAACAAAATAAACCCAGCAGTCAATACAAATTCACAAACACTGCTACAAATTCTGATGAATATAATGCTGTTTATCTCCATCATGACAAGAGGAAGTAACAGTACTTCATAACTTCATGAAGTATCAGATCATAAACTTACCGTATCTGAGATATACAGAATATCACCTTCCTCAAAGTACAGTTCATCCGGCTGAAAAAGAGGAAAACAAATCACAAATCAGACGAACTGAAACAAACAATGTTCAATCAAGCAGAAAAAAAGATGAACTCACCGTCCTTGGGTCAAAGGTGAATAAAGCCCGGTACACCTTGACCTGACCTGTTTAAAACACAGATAAATAACAGATCATGACTGATGATTAAAGCAATTAATTCACATTTCAGGCCCAGTGACCTGTGTTTTGGTCATAAAAGACGAAATAATCTACCTGTTAAGGCATGGTTCATACACATTTTTACTACCAAAATTCCATGACATTTCCAACACTTTAAAGTAAATTTAATTTATTCATTTAGTATTTTAGTCGTTCATTCTTTAGGATTAGTCCCTGATTTATCAGGGTTCGCCACAGCAGAATAAAGCCCCATCTACTTGGTTTAAATTAACATTTATGTCTATGTAAAATTTATTTAGATATTGCTTACACAGCACTGATAATGTAAGACCATGGAATTGGCCAATGACAAAGACTAGCCTATATTCAAATAAACAGATATTTGTTAAACAAATTTCCACAACTTTTCCAAATCTTCATGGGTTTTATTGTTTTTCCAAAACTTTTCCAGGCCTGAAAAATGTCATGTCAAAATTCCATGACTTTTCGTGGTTTTCCATGACCGTTTGAAACCTGTAAAGGGATAGTTCACCCAAAAACTAATGTATTTTAATTATGCTGGAAAAAAACCCATTCCATATTAGGAAAAACATATACAGTGCTCTACATAAGTGAGTACACCCCATTAGGGAAGCAACGATTAACTGGTTTCACTATTAACCGTACTTTAATTAGTCACGGTTAATTAATCATAAAGGCATTTCTGCACAGAACAAAACTGCTGCCACTAAAATTTATGCCAGCTGTGCACGAGTGTAAAGTTATAAGCTTGTACACAATACCCACACACACTGGATTAAATGCTGAAGGGCCGTTCACATATCCAGTGTTTTGTGCGCACAAGTTCGTTATTACCAATAGAGGCACGCAACACACACACTTTCCAGGCACTCCTAGTTGAAAGAATGCCACGTGCACACCGTGAGTCAAGTGACAAGATCTGACCAGTCAGCTTCATATTTTGTATGGAATACAGGGTTGTCTCGATACTGCAATTCGATATCAATCGGTACAAAAAGTTTAAAAGCGTCTATGTCCCGCAAACATTTGGGCGTGTGGATCTTAAACAGCGCTGATTTGCCATTGTGTTCACATGCTCAACAGAAATGACTGTGATTGGCCGTGAAGGTCATTGTTTCACCAAACTCACCGCTGTTTACTGAGTGTAACCAAAGAGCTTAGAATGACCAAGAAGCGACACTTAATAGAACATTCCATTGCAACAGCAGTACCCAGCAGCAGCCCTGTGATTGCACCATTTTGGAGTGAAAGCGATCGGTTGTCCATTGTATCTCATTGCTGTCACAATGGCAAGCAGCTGCTTTGTTTTTTGTTTATTTATTTATTTATTTATTTATGTATTTATTTAAAAAGCACATTAAAGCTGAGATTCAGCCTGAAATACGACAATAAAACACTTACTATCACAATCATCAGCACTTTTAATAGTTTATTTTACAGACATGTAATATGCTGCTGTTCTATTGGAATTTTCATTCCAAAATGGCCACCGCTGGACACAAATGGACACTAGTGGCACCTAGTGGCTGTTTCCCAAACAACAACAGTGTCGCCACTTGGTGATTCTATGCTCTTTGGTGTAACCACAGATACCGGCACACTGGATTTTAAAGGCGTGATTCTTTAGCGGATCGCTCATATGTTAGCTTATAGACAAACCAGCTGATTTACGTGACTTTAAAACGCTTCAATGTTTGATTGGTATCGAATTCCAGTATCAAGACAACCCTAATGGAATGTAGGCTTGGGCGGTATCCAAACTCTGATACCGTCAAACCTCCTCCCTATTTTACCTCGGTATCCGGTATTACCCTGCATATTTTTAAAAATTATGAAGGCTCAGACAGCGTCACCAAACTGTTGGCTTGTGCCTAAACCATTCAGAAACTGAATACCAATACCGTATATGCGACTTAGGCTCGCAGTCACCTGTTTGTCTTCTTCTGCACGGGACACTCCTCTCATTCGCACGCACGCAATCTGGTCGGCTCAAATCAAATAAAATAAAATACATCCTCTGTAACATCGTAACATTCCAGCACTCTAAATAGGCCTAGGTACATACAAATGCATCACACGACTATTCATTTACCTACTGCGCAAGCAAAGCCAAGCCCAGCCCGACCCCGTCTAAATGATAGAATTCAACCCCAAACTCATCGGATCCCGTCGGGTTCGGGCAAAGATCTTCAGCTCTAATGCAGACCTCTAGTCCATATTTACCACGTCTCTCTTCTAATTCAGTCGAAACCAGAAATACTGCCAAATTGCAAGTCACCTGGTACACGACACGCCACCTCTCCCTCTCTCTCTCTCCTCCACACTGTCCCGTGATGAGAATCACGCAAGCGTATTTGTAGGCATTAAATACAGGATATTTAATACTTTTCACCTATTTAAGTGCAGTGTTTTTTTTATAACGATATATTGATATTGAAACCGTTGCTATTTTTAGATCCCGCTGTATACCATGATACCGTATCACCGCCCAAGCCTAATGGAATATACACATTTCTACACCATAGAGAGAAAAAATACAAAAGGAAAATGCCAAACATTTGTGTAATGTAGTTGATCAACAGTGTCTTTAAGACAGACATTCAGCAGCCTTTGACTACATTTATTCTCTTTAAAAGAGAACTACTTAGCTAATATGTTTTTTTGTTTATTATTATTTTTATTTATTCATTTGTTTGTTGATTTTATTCATTCATTGTTCTGTCATTTATTTTCAGTGTAAATCATTACTAATGTTTAAATGCCACAAACTTGTTTCACCTATTGTTAAGTCCAAAGAGAAATAGACTATTGTTTGTTTGTTTTTAATATTATTTTGTGCTGTATTAATTGGTTACTGAGCAGCAATAAATAACACTTTAAATATAAGGACTTTTCATATGATTTTTCTAAACTAGCACTGTTTTGAAATTAATGAAATGTGTAATAATCGTGATACCCGTGATTGTTCTTCAGACTATAAGCGTGCAACCAAAATCTATAATCTTTGCATCCCTACACCCCATATTGAAAATTAGTGTTTTGATCAATTTCTCAGTGAATATAGGTCATATATTTTGGTGCATTTAAACAAAACAGATTTATTACATGGATATATTTATTGAAATAATATTTTCATCCCCAAGCATCTTAAAATAGAGAAAAATAATACATTGAAATTCATGCTAAATATTAAGAAAGAAAAAAACAAAATTTCAACAAAATCTTCTGCTTTTGTTTTGAAAATAGGAAGTCAATGGCTTCCTATTTTCAACATTCTTCAAAATATCTTCTTTTGCATTCAACAGAAACACACACACAAAAAAATGAAAATAAATAAATGACAACAGAATTTTCATATCTGCATGAACTCCCCTTCTTGCTCTTATCTGTCCGTCCATCCATCCATATGCAAAACATAATCGTACTGCATGTCTACTGCCAAATAATATCACAAAGCTAAATACAGGGCAAACCACATGACCCAGAAATGTGCGTAAGCCTCATAGCTGGAGAAACCCAAACCCTGAGGCCAAAACATATAAATAAACAAACCATTGTAAGTGTAACAAAGGGCATTTCCTGCCAGCTATTAAAAGGTATTTCCATGCTGGATCCAACCAACTCCTTCCAAACTTCCTACAGATCACTTCTGAAATGGAAATATTATGGCTTTGTCCACTTCTACACAGATATGTTAATTTCTGCAAACATCAAATTTGCGTGCTGTGCATTTGACTTCCACATATAGGCCTGTCACAATAGTCCATATGACTTATCACACACATGGACATGACCTCAATCATTTTTGGTGATGCAGTATACTTCGCCCTTACATTAAAACCAATCCTAGCAACTTTTTAGCTGTGCAACATCTCTATCTCTACTGGAGGTGTCAGTATGGTTTAAAATAATACTATAGTATTTACTATCAATTACTTTAGTATATAGCCATCGAGTGGCTGTCTGACAGCTGAAAATAGGTTTGGTAGCAGATATCGCAGCCTCTATTACTTTTTACCTTGCACCTTGTTTGCCTGTGTTTGTTTAAACATTTATTATTATTTATTTAGTATATGCGTTTTTACATTCTGAATCCAATGCCTGATTATTAAACTGTTAAAATGACTATAATTAAATGAAATATTCTTAAGAATAAAATATGTTGTGTTCTTTGAAAGAGTGCACTTGCATTGTGATTAGGGATGTCCAGATCCGATCATGTGATCGGAAATCGGGCTTTTTCTGACTCGATCGGAATTCGAAGTAACCTCTTGATCAGGACTCGAATATAGAGGGTGGGCCATTTATTTAGATGCATCTTAATAAAATGATAATGGTCGGTCATATTAACGTCTTGTTTGTGGCACATTAGTATATGTGAGGGGGCAAACTTTTCAAGATGGGTGGTGACCATGGTGGCCATTTTTAAGTCGGCCATCTTGGATCCAACTTTTGTTTTTTCAATAGGAAGAGGGTCATTTGACACATCAAACTTATTGGGAATTTCACAAGAAAAACAACGGTGTGCTATAAAATGTGTTCAATGTGCTGCCCATTGTGTTGAATTGTCAATGCAAGCCTCTTCTCCCACTCTTCACACACTGATAGCAACACCGCATGAGAAATGCCAGCACAGGCTTCCAGTATCCGACCGTAGTTTCAGGTGCTGCACATCTTGTATCTTCACACCATAGACAATTGGCTTCAGATGACCCCAAAGATAAAAGTATAAGGGGGTCAGATCGGGAGATTTTGGGGGCCATTCAACTGGCCCACGACAACCAATCCACTTTTCAGGAAACTGTTCATCTAGGAATGCTCGGACCTGACAGCCATAATTTGGTGGTGCACCATCTTGCTGGACAAACTCAGGGAAAGTGCCAGCTTCAGTGCATAAAGAGGGAAACACATCATCATGTAGCAATGTCAAATATCCAGTGGCCTTAAGGTTTCCATTGATGAAGAATGGCCCCACTCTCCTTGTTGCCTATGGTGTGAAGATACAAGATGTGCAGCAGCTGAAACTTTTTTGAAAGCTTTTTCCATTTTCGTTGAAGATCTTGTGACTGAAATGTAACAGAGTTTGTGAGTTGTATATGCATTTTTGATCTGTTTAAATAGTTACAATGCTTCTGACTTGTTTTATTTTTATATAATTTTGTATAAGCTCTAGATAACTTTTCCTTCTATCCTTGTATCTTTTAAAATGCAAAGTGCTTTCAGAATTAAAGTTTTAAAGCAGCGATATAGGGCTGCAGCTATCAATTATTTTAATAATCGATTAATCAACAAGTGTGATTGATCGAATAATCGGATAAGCTTTTTCCATTTTCATTGAAGATCCTGTGACTGAAATGCAACAGTTTGTGAGTTGCATGTGTATTTTTGACATGTTTTTAGATTTACAATGTTTCTGACTTTTCTGATGAATGAATGTTTCTGACTTGTTTTATTTTTATATCCGTTTGTATAACCTCCATTTTTAATGAAGACTGAAATTAACAGAGCAGTAAAAAGTGTATAAAAGCCTCACATTTATATACTGCAATAAGTTATCTCATTCAGCTCAATTTGCAGCTGCTGCACAATATTATGAATGTAAAAAATGAAAGTTTTTTTTATTTTTTATGTTTCACCTAATAATATAATTACAAAAAAATTCAAACAAGCTGCATATTGCCCAATTAAAATATATATAACGAGCAAATTACATAAATGCTGTAGCCAGGAAGTGATGTGTTAAATGCATTTTTTTTAAAACAAAGCATAAATTACTATGATTTATTTTTTGCAAACAATTAAATCGAATCATTTTGCAATAAGTTTCAGCCCCAACCATATATAAAATAAAATAATAATATTATCAATGCTGTTGTTGTTGTTATTAAAAATTAGTGTATGCATTTAGACCATTAAAACTACTTTGCAATAAATAAAGGCATTTATATTAATAATAATTATAATTAAAAATAATAATGATTATAGAAAATAATAATAACAATAGTGTTATCAAAAATATCGATCTATAAATTAATTCTGAAATATTTAAAATTATACTATCTTGCTTTTGTTTCCCAGTACTGGGTTTCAGCTGGATGGCCATCCGCTGCATAAAACATATGCCAAAATAGTTAGCGGTTCATTCCGCTGTGGCGACCCCTGATAAATCAAAGACTAAGCCAATAGAAAATTAATGAATGTATCTTTCTTTTGGTTAATATCAATACTGGCTTTGCTCTCTAACACTCTCTCTTTTCACCAGAAGGGAGAAGAATAATCAATAATAATATTAAGATTCTAACACTGCTTTTAATCAGAAAATGAGATTGCACTAATTTAGTTTGTAATTTACTGCCTTTTGGACTTAAGAACTGCTGACGTACCTCATATAAGCATTATTCATTTATTCATTTTCTTTTCGGCTCAGTCCCTTTATTAATCAGGGGTTGCCACAGCGGAATGAACCGCCAACTTATCCAGCATATGTTTTACGTAGCGGATGCCCTTCCAGCTGCAACCTATCACTGGGAAACACCCATACACACTCATTTACACACATACACTACTGACAATTGAGCACATACCCAATTCACCAATAGCACATGCCTTTGGACTATGAGGGAAACCGGAGCACCCGGAGAAAACCCACACCAACACGGGGAGAACATGCAAACTCCACACAGAAATGCCAACTGACCCAGCTGAGGCTCGAACCAGCGACCTTCTTGCTGTGAGGCGATTGTGCTACCCACTGCGCCACAGTGATGCCCTCATATAAGCATTATATGGTTATTTATTTCCCCTTTTTACTTCATCTGCATACCTTTATTGTTGCTAACTTTGTTTCCCACGGCATCAAAAATAGCCTCGAATATTAATATTTTTCAAGGTATCATGACACAATAATAATCATAATGCATATTAAGTTTTGTAATCTAAAGAGTAATTTTTTTATTGCATCCAAAGGTAGAAATAGACATAAAAAATTAGTAACAAAAATACAAATTAAAGTAATTATTGGATGTTTAAAATGGCATTTGTGTATTAAATCAGTTTGTTTCGCCCCCTGACAGCACACAACATAGGCACAATCACTCAGTATATAATTTTCAGTGCATCTTACTTTAGTTTGAGGTTTAAAGATTCATTTTTGATCAAGTCAAAAGCAGAAATATTTAAAAAAGGATGATCACTGGATGTTTAAAACTGAAACTAAACCTTGTATACATGTTGTAAAAACACAATATTCGCTATCAAAGACAATCTCTAACCACAACACCTATCTCTGCCTGCCATCAGCATACATCAATAAGGGTAAAGTTGGTTTTATGTTTGCACATTTGGATTTTCTCATTAATTGTGTATTTTCAAACAAGCATCCGTTGCTAATTCTAATTAGGGAAGTCATATTAGCAGCCAAACACTATCAAAGTACAACACAGTCAACTAAATAGTGCTAATGTTGTCATGAAGTCATATTTGCATGCTATTTCAGACCGAATATTCAAAGTGGCATGGTGAACAATGTAGGGACCCTCTCACGAGTTGTCAATGAATGATTGTGTAAATGTACAACACCAACTTTGCCTCAATCATACATCACCAGTCCAAATGTCATGACTTAATTTGCACACTAAGCATAGTGAAGTAGTCAGTTCATAAGGGGAAGTAACTGCCCACTGTTAGACAACGACTAGCTATCTACATGTTAAGTATCTAGAGTCTAGACAACATTTTGGGGCATTTTTTTTGCGCATGCACATTTAATGCCCGATTAAAACACGATGACTAAACGTGCAGTCTATATAGGTTGCTTACTGGAATTTGAATTACAGCCAATTGATGAATGAGTGTTTTTCCCCTCTCCAAACTCAATCGAGTAATCAGAAGTAAGTCGTTTCACTTTATTTGGACTGTCAATGCAAAGACGTGTTGATTTTGCGTACGTTAAATGCGTAAAAGCGCGTAAAAAGTTGCACTGGAGAAACGCCAAACTCCACCCGCCGGAGAAAGTTCAGCAACACAGAATAGCATGCATTCATATACATTTCAGCGTGTTTTTTATTAGCTAGCACATAAAGAACAACGCTAAACAATTTGAATACTCAATGAAACTTTAGTATGTTCGCCGAGGCTTGTCCTCCATGAGCACCTTACCTGGTTTAGCTGGTTTGGGGGGAGGCTTTGACATTTCAGGAACTTTCCGAGACTTTTAAAGACGCTTTCTGGGTTATTAAAGATTTCTATATCACGTATAAGCTGTTTAAAACGGTTAAGAGCGCAAATGAAACAGTGGATCGCTGCTTTCTTCCTTTAGGCGCTGTCAATGAGGAAGCGTAAACGAACCCAATGCGGAAAAGTTAATCTGCGCATGCGCATGTCAGATCGGCTGAAATTCTTTCCTGGCTTTTAGAAAGTATACAGGATTGTTGAGTAAATACAATTTACGCAAAAATTAAACTACAGTTTGGTTTAGTATTATAAAGCAAGTAACATAATTTTACATTGACGGAAGATACACGCATAATGTACTGCAAAAGTAAATATGAATGCATCCATACTAGTTAAATCTAACGCAATATGTGTTTATTTAATAATAATTTTCTGTAGTCGGGCTTTAATCAATAATTTAACATGCAGTAATGAATATTAAACATGCATTTACATCTAAAAACATCAGGAAATAAATTAATTCATTTTTTCATGTTGCAATATGGGGAAATAAAACTGTTACTGCAAATATAATATCTATTTTAATAGCTTTAATGTTGCAATGATTTCTATTTCGATTTACAGTTTTGTAAGTGAACAATTTATGCAAAAATGATACTGTAGTTTTGTTTAGTAGTATAAAACTAGCAGCATAATATTATATGAACGAAAAAATGAACACATAAATTACTGCAAACGTAAATATAAATGCATGCATACTTTATTATTAGATCTAACGCAATATGAGCTATTTTAATAATATTTTTCTGTAGTTGGGCTTTAATCAAGAATTAAACATGCAGTAATGAATATTAAACATGCAGTTATAACTGAAAACAGCAGGAAATAAAATCATTTAGTTGCTCATGTTGCAATATGGGGAAGTAAACCTGTGTTACTGCATATACAATGTCTATTTCGATAGCTTTAATGTTGCAATGATTTCTATTACGATTTATAGTTTTGTAATTAAACAATTTAGTAAAAAATGGTACTATAGTTTTGTTTAGTAGTATAAAACAAGAACATAATATTGTATTAACTGAATGCATATAAATTACTGCAAACTTAAATATGAATTTATCCATACTAGTTTATTATTAGATCTAACACAAAATGATTTATTTTAATAAAAATTATTTGTGTAGTCGGGGTTAAATCAAGAGTTAAACATGCAGTAATGAATATTAGGCATGCAGTGACAACTGAAAACAGAAAATAAAATCATTGGTTTTCTCATGTTGCAATATGGGAAAATAAACGTGTGTTACTGCATATGAAATGTCTATTTCGATAGCTTTAATGTTGCAATGATTTTTATTTCGGGTTACAGTTTTGTAAAAAGCCACAATTTACGCAAAAATGATACTATAGTTTTGTTTAGTATTATAAAGCAAGCAACAAAATATTAGATTGACGGAAGATGCACGCATAATTTACTGCAAGCGTAAATATGAATGCATCCATACTTTATTATTAGATCTAACGCAATATGAGCTATTTTAATAATATTTTTCTGTAGTCGGGCTTTAATCAATAATTTAACATGCAGTAATGAATATTAGGCATGCAGTGACAACTGAAAACAGAATAAAATCATTGGTTTTCTCATGTTGCAATATGGGAAAATAAACGTGTTACTGCATTTAAAATGTCTATTTCGATAGCTTTAATATTGCAATGATTTCTATTTCGGTTTACAGTTTTGTAAGTAACCACAATTTACGCAGAAATGATACTAGCTTGTTTAGTAATAAAAAAAGCAAGCATCATTTAAATAGATTCACAGAAAATATACACACACATTAGCCTACTGCAAACCTAATGAATGTATCCATATAATGTATTAAATGCAACACAATATGCATTGTTTTACTTATAATTGGTGTAGTTGGGCTTTAATCAAGAATTTAACATGCAGAAATGAATATTAAACATGCAGTGACAAAAATGAAAACATGAGAAAAATAAAATAATTCATTTTCATATGTTGCAATAAGGGAAATAAAACTGTTACTGTATATAACATGTCTATTTTGATAGCTTTAATGTTGCAATGATTTCTATTTCGATTTTTAGTTTTGTAAGTAAACAATTTACTTAATGATACCATAGATTTGTTTAGTAGTGAAAAAGCAAGCAACATAATATTGTATTAATGGAATACATATAAATTACTACAAGCTTAAATATGAATGCATCCATACTAGTTTATTAGATCTAACGAGTTATTTTAATAATAATTTTCCGTAGTCGAGCTTTAATCAAGAATTAAACATGCAATAATGAGTAATTTAACATGCAGTGACAACTGAAAATATCAGGAAATAAAATCATTCATTTTCTCATAAACCTGTGATTCTGCATCTAAAGTGTCTAATTCGATAGCTTTAATGTTGCAATGATTTCTATTTCGATTTACAGTTTTGTAAGTAACCACAATTACTTAAAATATACACACACATTAGCCTACTGCAAACCTAAATATGAATGTATCCATATAATTTATTAAATGCAACACAATATGCATTGTTTTACTTATACTTTGTGTAGTCGGGCTTTAATCAAGAATTTAACATGCAGTCATGAATTTTAAACATGCAGTGACAAAATTAAAAAGCATCAGAAAAATAAAATAATTTTCTCATGTTGCAATAAGGGAAATAAAACTGTTACTGCATGTAAAATGCCTATTTTACAGGGCAATTACCAACCTGTATCACACATGACATCACACGATTCAACGTCGCATACCGGTTGCAAAAAGAAGACCGGTAGCAAACATGTCGTTTTGTGCGATAGGATGCCAAGTTCGACCGTACCGATATCGTGCACACTACTTTTAATGCCTACCGCAGACGCCTATGGCTAATAGCCATCAAAAGAGCTGAATGTAGTGAGGACCTAATTAAAAATGCTGGGCTCTGCCGTTCTCATGTTATATCAGGCAAGTTCACACTATGCTGAATCATACACGTTACTCCTTTTTGATTGCAGCAATGATTTCAGCAAAAACAGTTAAATATTGTGAATTAAACTGCGGACACTGAATGCTTAGAATGAAATGTAAATATGTAGGTTCACACATCCTGCCGTACAGGTGCAGTTTGCTGTCAGAATGCAGTTGTTTTGCTTGTTGATGATAACCCAGGCCTTGTAGAGTTCCGTCTTCTTTTTTTTGTCTTTGGCTTGGCAGAACCTCGGTTTTTAGTACTACATAGTTTTGAATCTGATAATCAGAGAGCATTATTTCTTGCACATGACCACACAGAACAAAATTCTTGGCATCCAAAGAGTTGTAGGCCTTTAACTTCTCTCTTGTAAAATCACTTGGAGCTTCAATGAAGTAGTCAATTTACTAATGGGGTATGTCTTTGAATGGGAGGAAACCGGGAAGCCCGGGGACAACCCACGCGAACACAGGGAGAACAAACAAACTCCGTGCAGAAACGCCAACCGGCACGGAGAGGGGCCGAACCAGCTGCGTTTTTGCTGTGAGGCAACAGTGCTAACCACTGAGCCGCCGTGCCGCCCTATTAAAGGAGTAGAGTTGGAAGGGGGGATTCTTCAAGACAAAGATGACTGGAGTAGAAAGCTCTGGTTATTTATAGTGTGTCAGTATTCATCTGATAGGTGCAACATACGGAGATGATGAAGTACCAGCCGTGTTCAATCATAAGCACGTGAGCCTCTCGAAATTTGTTTATAAATAAACCGCACGTGTTGTCTGGATGTCTATTCACTTTTAATCTTGGGTGTTATAAAGAAGCTTAAAGGCATTTCCCGGAAAATTCCCTCTGAAAGTTCTAATTGTAAACTGATATCACATTATTTCACATTAATTTTATTATTTTTAAAGCAATTAAAAATGCTGACAATTTTAATGTTTTTAAACCATTGATCGTTGATAAATAATAAGATTTAATTAAACTTAATACCTTTTCTGACACCAGTGTAACACCTCTACACGCTAATTCTCTAGACATTCATGTAATATTAGAGGATACGCATAACAATGGACTGCACCAACAAGTTGGTTTACATTTCAGGCAGGTTTTTTCAGAGCTGCCTAAGAATAGCATTCATTGTTCGTATATAGACCAGACTAATACAGTATACGGTGCATTTTGAGCAAAAAAAGCAGAAGTTTGATGTTATCATTATACAACTACTGTAATATATGTCTGTGTACGGTGTAAATTATATATATATATATATATGTATATTAGTGGTGGGCTGTTATTGGCGTAAATGTGCTGAGTTAACGCGAGACTCTAAAAAAAAAAAAAAGTGCCCTTATGAATCAAATAAGCTGGATGCCCTTCTGGATCTTTCATCAGATATGAGTATTTGGAACTTTAGATATTCATTCATTCATTTTCCTTCGGCTTAGTCCCTTCATTAATCTGGGGTCGCCACAGTGGAATGAACCGCCAATTTATCCATCATATGTTTTACACAGTGGATGCCCTTCCAGCTGCAACCCAGTACTGGGAAGCATCCATACACACTCATTTTCACACACATGCATTATGGCCAATTTAGTTTATTTAATTCCCCTATAGCGCATGTATTTGTACTGTAGGGCAAACCGGAGAACCTGGAGGAAACCCCTGCCAACGCGGGGAGAACATGTAAACTCCACACAGAAATGCCAACTGACCCAGCTGGGACTCTAACCAGCTAACCGCTGAGCCACCGTACCGCCCAATTTTAAACCACACACTTGCAGGAAATAAATTTGTAAGTGTAATAACTAGTTTAATATGCATTAGGGCTGCACAATATATATCGTTTCAGCATCGATATCGCAATGTGTGCATCTGCAATAGTCACATCGCAAAGATATGCAATGTCCAGTCTGAATTATAGTTGACCAGGAGCTACAGAATTGTACTTAATTACTGTATTTATATGGACTTTATGATTTATGCAAAAAAAAAAAACTTGTTTCTAGTCCATCTACAGGGTGGGCCATTTATATGGATACACCTTAATAAAATGGGAATGGTTGGTGATATTAACGTCTTGTTTGTGGCACATTGGTATATGTGAGGGGGCATTCTTTTCAAGATGAGTGGTGAACATGGTGGCCATTTTGAAGTCGGCCACCTTGGATCCAACTTTTGTTTTTTCAATAGGAAGAGGGTCATTTGACACATTAAACT